GGGCATGAGCCATCTTCAGGTGTGCTGAGTGATGACTAAGGACTTGGGGCTTTATTGGTACAGAACTAGACATAACAGAAAATTCTGAAATAGAAGAATTAGCATCAAACAGAAGCACACTTTGGAAAAACCAATCTGACAGTGGTATAAAAGCAGTTTTTTTAAAAAATGTGTGTTTCTCTCTATGATAGCTCCTGGCTGTCTTTAGCTACCTCTAATTAACTTTTCTGCTGGGTAGAGAAACTTCTCTTGGCTTCTGAGGTAGTTATTTCCTCCAGAGTCAGGAATGCTTCAACATTTAAAGTGGAAGGAAACATACTGGTAAAGTTCCTCACCCATGACCTTCTAAATTATCTGAAATGCAGAAGTCAAGATGGCCATTTGTCACTTAATCCTCCGTGGCAGAAAACTCTACAGAAATCCTGTCACACACATTTAGAGCAATAAGTCTCCTAAATAATCCAAACATTGTGGAGACCAAGCTGCTTCATAAAAACAAAAGCTCCCATTTGTATACAGATGGAATATAATGCTCTTTAGGAAAAGAATCCAATGTGCATGTCCTCAACGCAGACAGACACTTCAGAGCCATCCCAAATACACCACCCTTCACAGATTCTGTTACATCTTCAACAATATGCTGTAATAACATTTTTCAAAATATTTTTCAAACATTTGGCCTTTAAGAAGTGAATGAGGCCATTTTATTCCATGAAAAATATGCTCATGTTGGACTATAACCTCTTCAGGGAGTTGTAATTGCCTCTCCCAATAGAAATCATACCAGGTCTCCAAGATGGTCTCCACAACTTCTCCCTTCCTCCCTCTGAGCACATCTAGAGATGGAGTATCTCTGTGTTTCTTGGCTGATCTTATAATTTGTTTTGATCGAAAGAATGAAGCAAAATTGACATCCTGGACTCTCCAGCCCATGTATTAAGGTACTTGGAGGCTTCCCTTTCCTCGTGTATATGAGAACCACCATTTGAAAAATTTGGCAACTAGATATGAAGAGAGGTCTGTGGCAGAGGTCTGATACCATCCTGGATGGTCAGCCATCCTAGCCCAGCTAAGATTCTAGCTAAATGAAGCTGTGTGATTGAACTCAGGAGAAAGCAGCAGACAGACCCAGGCATCAGGCAGAATGGTGAGACCTAACAAATCAGTACCTTCTCAAGCCACTAATTCGGAGGTCATCTGCTGTACAATCACAGAACACTGAAACAATGGGTGACAGAAGAGATCAAATGGTTATTAGCGAACCAGAATTTATCCTGTAGCATCTGTGATCATCCTGGGGTTTTATGGACTTCCTGCAAACTAACTGAAATAGGAAGGCACAGGCAGGACCCTTATCTTGTCATAATTAAACTATAGCACTTGGTAATATCTAGGGTTCTGACACTTATTTTGATACTGGATTCTGGCAACTTTACTGCCAGACCCTGGTAGAGCTAGAAAAGTACTTCCTATGACTGGTAAAGCTTTGGTCATCCTTATATTCCTGCTTTACTTAATGTCATGCCACAAAATTGCAAATACTTTTGTCAGAAAAACTAAAAAGATAATGAATACTGGAGTACATAAAACTTCATTGAGTACTGGGAAGATAAAACGTAGCAAAGCCCTTCATTGCGCTTTATATAGGTGCAAGCTACATGGATGCATAGAGACAGCAAGGACTAATTAGCCCCAAATTCTTGCTACTTCCTGCATTTACACCCTTGCCATGTGTGAACTGTGGTCATAGCACAGTTTTCTTCTTCTTGACTTTGGGCCTATGTCACCAGCTTTGGCTGGTAAAATGTCTATGTGATCACTCTATATCTGTCCTTAAGAGGCATCCTACCTGTGGTCTGGACTCTTGCCCTTCTCTGAAAGGAGAATTTGCCCTCATGGTGTCTAGGACCAGGAAGATGAGGGATACGTGGAGCAGCACCATCCCACAACCCAGCAACTTAAGATCACAAAGAAATGCTGACTGTTGAACACCACTGAGAATGAAAGGGAGTCTAATACCCTGCAACAGTTGCTTAGCACAAGGCTCTTTTATCAGATGCTAACATCTACAAAATACACATGGTACATTAGGACAACAGTCTTCCTGGATATCCAAGTTGTAACTAAATCAGAACATGGATGATTGGGTGGTATCATTGCTAAACAGAACATAAGTACAGAATATAAATTAATACTCAGTGGTGAATTTTATCAAATCTTGCCCTGTCGTCTTTCTAAAGATTCTAATTTGGTAGTTAAAGTTCTCTATAACTAAATCCTTAGTTTTTTTTTCCATTTATATTTTCTGTTCCATTCAAATTGGATTATTTATAATTCTTGAATATGCCTCACATTACAAAATTTTAGCCTTTCCCATCTTTTCTGAACTGTATTCTTTATCCAACAGGTTTAGAGTCTTCCAGTTCTTGGCAGATTCAGATGCCACCTCTGTAAGGCATCAAAGCCACTTCTGCCTTTAAAACTGAACAGTCCATTCCCGAGTCTTACTAAGCTAAATATCTTCTGGTATTTGGCTTATTCTGCTTGAAAAAGTCCAAGATTGCAAGCTCCGTGGAGCATTTGCCTCTGTGATCCCCATGGCACTTAGCAGAAGGCCTTAATCACTACACAGCACTGTGGAATGAGTGACCAATGAGAGGCAGCTGGACATCTGGAAACAGCATGGGATGCAGAGGTGGACCTGGCCTGAGAGATGTGGATGCAGTGACTGGGTAGCTGGGCAGCTTTCAACCTGCCAGTCTCTTTATGATTCAGCATCTACATATGCAAAATTGAGACAGCATACTCTTCACAAGATTGTTGTGAAAATTCAACATGAAAATGAATGCAAATGCCTCTGGTATTGACATATGGTAGCTCTATTATAAAAATGGTAATGACAGAACATCACACAGAGGCTAGTTTAAACAAGTCCTTGATGGTAGACCATTTTCTCTTAGCAGTTAAGTATTTGAGGGTCATAATAATGACTCCAGTCCCAATGAACTGTTTTCCTGGAAGCTGTGGTTTCAGTGAGCTGGAGTCTAGCTTTTATTGAGATGCTCAAATATCCAATGTTTTCCCCTACATTTCTAAATCCTATAAGTAGTCACTACAAATGGTAAATTTGTTATCAAAACAAACACATCTCCTTAAAACTTCTCATTCACACTACTGCATTTTTCTTTTTCAATATTTTCTTTGTACATTTTATGCATCTTAATCATATTTAGACTCCCTTCTCCTATCTGCATGACACCCCCCACCAGATTTCATGCATTTTGCAATATATATTATGGCTTATCTAGTCAAGTTTGTGTCCCTAGATGTCCCTGAGTGTGAATTCATCCACTGGAGCCTGGTCAGCCTATCTAACTTCACTCCCTTAAAGAAGACCAACTCTCCCTCACCCAGCTGTGATCAGCTACCAAAAGTTCCTCAACTAAGGTTGAGGCTGCTTACCCATTTCCCCAGTTCTATGCTGGGTCTTTATCTGGTTTGAATTTGCATGGGTCTTGTGCAAGCTGTCACCATTGCTGTAGGAGCAAGTTCCCAGCCACCTGAACACATTAGTGCATTTTAACACAGCAGGAACAGTCTCAGTCCTAGAATAATCATTACATTGGACCAAAAGCTAAGACTGAGGAGATGGCTCAGTCAGTAAAGTGCTTGCCTCCTGAGCACAAAGACCTGCATTTGTTCCTCCAAACCTCCAAAAGTCAGACATGGTGGCATATGTTTGTAATACCGGTGCTGGGGAAGCAGAGGCAGGCAGGATCCCTGGGCTTGCTGGCCAGCCAGTGAGACACTGTTTCAAAAAAAAAAAAAGCAAGGTGGACAGTACTTGAGGACCATACAAGGTTGTCCTCTGGCCTCTACTTACATATGCACACATGCCCCTGTTTGCATGCACTTGTGCGCACACACACGCGTGCACACACACACACAGAGACAGGGAGAGAGAGAGAGAGAGAGAGAGAGAGAGAGAGAGAGAGAGAGAGAGAGAGAAACAGACATTGCATAATAGAATTGACAATGACTGCAATTTGATGTAAAACAGTTCCCAGTGAAGCTTCTCATCCAGTAAGAGAAAAAGCATTTTTATAAATAAAAGGGCTGTGTAAATGTCAATTAGTAGATATTATTGTTAAAGTCATTCAGCAAAAAACTGTTTCAGCTCCCCTATATTAATTAACTGGAATTATATACAGATACTCACACAAATAGATACTTCAAGGGACAAATTCAAGATCAAGAAACTAAGAAACCTACATGTGGTCAGGCAGATAATACCAAAGAGTGACCTGGGCTTGTCATCCTTGGGGAAGGGCCAGTGGTTCACTGGAGGCCACAGGCTGACTGAAGGGGTAATCCCCACCCAACTCAGCTAATCCCCCAAGAAATGATGACCAAGTGTTGCCAGAGCTACTGAAGAAATTTGGGTTTTTATGTGAAACATCTTGAATTTTAAGGGTGCCTTGTCTTTTATTTAAATTCTTTGGAGGTAGGGGAGCGGTAAAGGAAGTATATTTGCAGACCACGTGTGCCAATGAACCTGTAATTCATATGATCTTTGCACTAGACACACAAAAATTACTCTTTACCGTTATTTGTATTTTTAGTATGACAATGTGTAATTCACTGTATTCACCCTAAAATACACCTCACTCTCAGTTTTAAATCTTCATTCCATTTTTAACCTGTGTTTTCAGTTGTCCCCACCAAGACACACACACCATTGTCTATGTACCTACTTAAACCCTTTTGGTTCTGTAAAGACTGAATTGAATGCTGACTCGGCATAAAACCTCCATGATCCTCCCCAAGCCATCCCAGATACAAATCACAACATAATCTGTCAGTGTGAAAGGTCTGCAGTGACCACCCCCCCATTCTTTTATTCCAATAGCATAAGGCACAGTTCACTAAAGTTGCTCACTGTCACCAAAATGAAAGGCCTGGAACCAACCAACAGGTGAAGAAAGTTTGCCTGCACTCACCACCAAACACATCTCCATTCTGGTAGTTCTTCCCTTTCTGGGCTTCCTCTTCATTTTGAACAGTGGCAACATGCTTGGCGGAGGCACAGCCCATAGTCTCATTCGGTCAGCTTCAGCCGGGCTGAACTGCAAATCATCTCTACAGACACGGGCACATTTTTCTCTCTTTAAACACAAAGAAAATCCACCTTGCTGCTGAGTTGGTCACAAGGTGCACACCTGCAGGAAGAGAAAGCCAGATCAGAATGGGAGACTCCAGCAAAACTGGTGCATGGGATTGCTTCCCGGGGGTGACCGGAGGGACACTAGGATTCATGACCACCCACTGCCTAGCTCCCCACACTCAGTGCTAAAGAATGAGGTGCAGGATGGCCCATCCTCTCTTGATCTCCACTCAGAAGTCAACATCAGAAGGCATGCCCCCATGTAATACTTTCTGGGGAAAGGGATTTTTTTTTAAGAGATGCAAAAATCACGTATTTATTTACTTAAGCAAATATTTGAGTACTGCTGTCTGTCACAGAAACATGCAAGGCACTCACAGGTTTGCTAATTTCTAGAATCTCCAAACTTTCAGAGTAAGCAAAGCACATTAGTAAAACCCACCCAGCTCCTATTTCCCATCCTCTCACCCCTCCACACACCAGCTCTTCCAAGCCCTTCATGTTTTTTTGTTTTCTGTTTTTCCAGGGGACCACCTTTTTCCTCAGGCAGAAACATGGGCTAGCTTATGCATTTCAAGGTGAGTGATAATAATTTTTATGTTATCTTAGGTGGCACCGTTTTGGAAGGCAGAGGAAGGAGACTGAGGAAGGTACTAAACTTACTTTTGTTCACTTTCTGCTTATCTAGCTGAATGTTTTAAAGTTTGAAGAGAAAAATGTGGGAAGATGAGGAAAAACATACAAAGCAGTTGTCTACCTGGCAGGGCTTTGTGCTCTGACTGGTCTCTCACAAAGACATAGGGAGTATTTTTGAATAAACCACACAGGAGCTAACCTGCACTCTGACCATATTAAATTTCCTTTACCTGCCTCACCCCAGTGGGCTCCCCAGATTCCTAGGGTTTACTGTACTCCATCTAGTCATTCCAGTCCTGCCTATGAGGTGCTACAATCTTGGAGATGTTTCCCTTGAAACGTCTCTCCTATCAGTTCCTTCATCTCCCTCATTCCAAATAGCCCTTACCTCTTTGAACTCTGGCAGAGTCAAGGAAGCATCCATCCTCTTTCAACCTGCACCAACACCCACATCCCACTGTTCTAGTGATGAACAATTGAGCCTGTTAAGTCTCACAGATGGTGTTACCAAAATGGAGCTGCAAGCTTTCTCTTTCAACAAGACTGCTGACCTTAACCCTTCTTCCTAGAGTGCTGAGGGCATCCATGGAAGTAGAAATCTAATAATTTAAGCCATAAAATCTCAGCAAATAGCATTTGTCTAATTAACCTAATACATGAGATTAGATACAAAGGTAATGATCTAAATTAAACCATACAACTATTAAATACAATAAATACTATGATTGTAATCTATGTCATGTTATAATACTTCAGACACTCTTGAGCGCTGATCATAAAAGGGAAGTATTATATTGGTTGAAGAAATATTACAAACCAAGCATCTTTTGTTTCCTAGTTAGTGCTTACACCTTTTTACACCCTAAGGAATCTCATGTTAACACATTTTCATCTTTTTGAAGCTATATGTAATCTAGGTCTATGAATGTTCACATACACACACACACAAGCTATTCTATTACTTAATAGTAATGTCTTTGAAACTACCACCTTTATATTTGATTGATATCAGTACGTAGACTCGGGAGCCTGATGGGGGAGAGCTGCTGACATTAAAAAGAACACACATAATGAGGGCTGTGCTAGAAGTTTCACAGGAACCTATGTCAATGCAGAACTCAAAAGAGCAGAGGTTTCGACGGACAGAGGAAGTGATATTTTTGGAAAGTATTGAAGGTTTGGTAGAAATTGGTCAGTTTGAAAAGATAGCAAAAGCATGCAGGTAAGGGGACTGGGCAAGTTAATGGCACATTTGGGGGGTACACTTGTTTCAGAAGGGTCAGGTGGAGGGGGAGGAAGAGGTCAGGCCTCCTGGTGGTTTGTAAAGGATGTGGAGAAGGCCTAGCTTGCTACTTTGGCCCAACTTAATAAAGCTAGTGTCATAGAATATAGGTGGTCCTTTTGACCCAAATTTATGCATATTGTGAGAAATACTCAATTAGTAACATAAATATTCATTGTGTCGACCTATTCTGGCTTCTGAAGACACATCACTGAGAGAAGGGACTGGTCTCTAAAGTTAGAAGAGAGAGGGGGCAAAAAAAATCCTAAGAGCTGGCTGTGGCTCTGTGTTCATGCTGTTTCTCTGGCTGCCGGCAGTGCTGTGGTCTCATAATTTCTGGTCAGCACTTTTTCAGGGCAACATCCCCTCCCCCACCTCAGCATCACAGCAGAAGGTCACAGGGCTGGGTTCCTGGAGAGAAGCCCCTTACTTTCCTAAGAGAAAGCCTAAGTAAACCACCTCCCACAGGCCCTGGAGAGACAAACCACACAGACAGGAGCCTCACCCAGCCTGCTTCCTCACCTGTTGCCACCTCTCAGAATCAATAAAGTGAAAACTGGAGAAGGAAAACATTAACAAAACCATCAAGGGGTTGTGGCAAATTACCTCCATCTCTGTGGGAGTCCTCTCAAGTTCCCTTTTTCATGCTAATTTAGCATTTGGAATTTCATGCCTGTTGTGTGGTTTCTTATCCCTTCCAAAGACTGAAGACCCCCATCCCTGTCTTTGGTGGATATAACCCAGGACCTCCAATGAATGCCTAAAACTACGGATGGTGAATGAATGCCTAAAACCGCAAATGGTACCAACGCTGCATATACTATGTTTTTCCTTATATGCATATTTATGACAAAATTTAATCTTCAAATTGGATATCATATGAAAGTAGTAGTAACTACTAATGAAAAAGAATAATTATACTGCACTGAAGCTTGGTGAATGTTCCTTTTTGAAAGTGCGAAGGTGAAGTCATGTTTTCATTGACTTCAAGTCACTGAAACCAGGGAAGGTAAAACCTCAGGTGAGGAGAGACTACTGCAAATGTAAGAATCTAAGACAGGAATTACTGTGCTGACCTGCAGAAGCATTTCACAATGTTTTTGATTCTTAAAAGTATAACTGTATTGATTCAACAGCAAACCTAGAAATTTTATAGCCACTTTTGAAGGAGCTGTATCTTTGCTCTGGAAACTTATTGGGCATGTTAAAGCTGTAATGAGATGCTTCTTCTAAAAAAAAAATTAAAAATAATATTAAAAAATCCCGAGCACATGCCTTTAATCCCAGCACTCGGGAGGCAGAAGCAGGCGGATCCTCTGTGCGTTCGAGGCCAGCCTGGTTTACAGAGTGAGTTCCAGGCCGGGGGGGGTAAAGGGGGACCCTGTCCAAAAAAAAAAAAAAAGAAAATGTAGGAAACAGCATATCTTGAAATGAAGATCTTCTTTAAAGGGTAAAAACTCATTCAATTTTTTATATCTTACAGGGTTTATACTGAGTTCAATATTGTATAACTGTATTAATTCAACTGTGAACCTAAAAATTTACAGCCACTTTTGAAAGAGATGTATCCTTGCTCTGGAGTGTGTTACTGAATATGTTAAAGCTGTAATGAAATGCTTCTTCTAAACACGTGGTTATTAAAGTAAAAAATTTAAAAAAAAATTTTTTAAGTTGCGCTTACAAAAAATGTGCTTGGATTTAAAGAGTTAAAGTTACATTAAAATAAAACAAGCTACTGCAGGCTAACAAAGCTAAAACACTAAGAATAATTTTTAAAAGGATGTTTCTGCTAAATATTGAAGAATCAAGCAAGCGAGTTCATTAGACACAATTTGCATCCAATTCAAATGATTCCTTAGGAAGTTTCAGTTTAATCATAATTATATATGTACATATATAAAATATCATATGGCACACACACACACACATACACACACACACACACACACACAGAAGCTGGCCTCGAATTCCTTAAGTGATCTTACTGTTTTAGCCTCCCAAGGAGCTGGGACTGCCAGCACACACCACTCGTCCAGTTAATTATGTTTTAAAAAGCACTGTCACTCAATAAGAGCTCTCTCCCTATCATAAGTCAGTGTAGAGTTTATTTTTGAAACATATACATTAAATGCCTTATAGCAGTAACTTAATTTTAAAAGTGACATTTTTCAACTTTTACAGCTTTATCAGTAATATATATTCATAAAATTACCATTTTGGTGGTGCTAGAGTCATTGGAGGGGCAGATCTCAAATTCTTAAAATTAATCATGGATCACTGGGGAAGAGGTTTTTTACTACATCACAAACACTTGCCCAATTAGTCAATCATTTCATGAACAGATATTAACTGAAAACTTCTAAGTGATAGACTATGTTGTTGGATAGGTACTGAGTATACAGTGGTAAACAAGATGAGATGTGATTTTCTTCTCTATCCCCATAAAAACGAATGCTCAGAGAAGAAAGACGAGTTTCATAGCAATGTGGTCCACGAAGATTAGACATAGGACAATAGGGCGTTCACCCCACAGGCATCTGACTCAGTTCTGGGAGAGGGAGTGTGGAGAGATGTTGGGGTTGAGACCTGACCACAGCTAACAAACAATCATTAAGACACCTTTGAACTGCATCTCTTTTATACTGGGGTGTAATGTCAAGATTTCATCTCTACTGATGAATCTTTCACTTAACCTGAATTCAACTGAGACCTTTTGAGCAGACCTTCTGAAATGTCTCCCTAAAGACTGTTAGAATCACCTGCATGGGGATTCCCTTCAGTTTTTACCTTCACATAAACTCTAGCTTCTATTAAGCTTTCATTTTTCCATTTGCTCTGCTTGGATTTTCTCTCCCAACCCCCACCTGGTCTGTTCATCTCCCTCTCTGAGACCACAGCACTCACAGGAAAGGCTCATGGTGCAAACAAGCACACAGAGACCACATTTTCACATATTGTTATTAACAGCATGCTACTGCTCGAAGCTGCAGATCAGTGTGAGAATTAAACTGAAACATCTCCTTGATGTTTGATGGAAGCTTATAAAATGGACTCACTGAGCTTGATTATTTTTAAACTAAATAATCTATGAGGTAAGATCATCAGGCACACCTCAGAAAACATAAAGCCGAATTAAT